GAGGCAGGAAGGTGGGAGTAAAAGAAGAAGGAAGATGTTTGAGATGGACGTGGCCTAAAGATGGAAAATGACGGGAGTCGTGTAGCAATAAAGGCAGGGATCTCTAAAGAAAAACATTATCGGACCTCGTTCCAAAGAGCGCAAGTCATGGGATTGAAACCTGCTTGAGGCAGGGAAGGAATATTTGATTCAGAAGGAAACACAACACACAACATCGTTCCACCTGTCTCTTATACACATCTAGATGTGTATAAGAGACAGGGGTGGAAGGCAGGAAAGGGGGAAAGGGAAGGGGTGGAAGGCAGGGACAGGGGGGAAGGGGGGGAAGGGGAAGGAAGGGGGGGAAGTTAGGAAGGGCGAGGGGGGGGAGGGCGGGCGCAGGCTTCCGAAAAAAACGAAAAATCTCCTTCGGGAAGTTCGGATCTGAACGCATATTGGGCGGAACGCTGTTGGGAAAGCGAACAGGGAGGCATGCATACGGTAAGTAGAGGCATTAGGGGTGGGGGCTTCTGGGGTCTTTGCTGCACGCGTGTATCTTCTGGGGGCTGGATCACGTAAGGTGGAGGCGGAAAGGTGTGAAGATGAGCTGGGTCGTTTTCCCGCTACGATCAGACGCAAGAAGCCGTGGGGAAGCACTTGGGGAATTTGTGTGTATGTCGGGGGGGGGGGGGGGGGGGGGGGGGGGGGCCACGGAGGCAGCGAGGATCGGGCAGGAAGGAGGTGGTTAGCAAGGAGCAGAGGAGGGGGGCAGGAGATAGTGGAGGATGGAGAAGGATAAGGAGAGTGTAAAGGAGGGGGGCGGAGAAGGAGAGGGTGGCGGGGGGAGAATGGGACGGAGAGGGAACAGGGACAGAGCGAGGTGAGAAGAGGGAGGGAGGGAGAGCGAGAGGGGGGAGAGAAGGAGGGAAAGGGTGGGGAGGAATGGGCGGGGGAAGGCGGAAGGAAAGCAGTCTTCAGGGAAGGAAAAGTCGCCTTGCTCCTCGCTCGATGCACACTATATAGTATTTGGCGCGCAGCAAACCGCGGCCGTGTGTGTGTGTCTGAGCGTCCACTTTGCAGTGCGCGCGCGCGCGTGTTGCTTGCGCGTTCGTTTTCTCCTCCGCAGAGTAGCGAGCTCGCCATGCCCCCCCCCCCCGCTCCCCGTGCGCGCGCGCGCGCGCGCGTGTGAAAGAGTGTGTGTGTGTTTTGTATATGTGTCTGTTGTCCTATTGTCTATACAGAACTTGTCTCTTATACACATCTAGATGTGTATAAGAGACAGGTCATTATAACTGTATCTAGACTGAAAGATGCCTCAAATACAGCTATAATGACCGTAAGTTGTATTCGGGGGAAGAAGGTAGGCTACCGGCCGGACCGCCCGGCTCACCTTGTTTTCCCGGGCAGCCCAGCCATGAAGGGACCAGGGGACGTCCCAGCAAAAAAAGAAAAGAAAAAAAGAAAACCCCAAAAGAAAACTAGAAAAAAAAACTCGGCCGGACAGCCCGGCTCACCTTGTTTTCCCGGGCAGCCCAGCCATGCAGGGACCAGGTAACGTCCCAGCAAAAAAAGAAAAGAAAAAAAGAAAACCCCCAAAA